CAAAAAAAAATTAGCCGGGCATGGTGGCGGGTATCTGTAGTCCCAGCTACTCGAGAGGCTGAGGCAGGAGAATGGTGTGAACCCGGGAGGCGGAGCTTACAGTGAGCTGAGATCGTGCCACTGCACTCCAGCCTGGGCGACAGAGCGAGACTCTGTCTCAACAACAAAAACAAAAAAAATCAATACATTTCCAGGATCTCAGAAACCTTCTGTGTACCCATTTCCAGTTGTATTCTCTTCCTGCTCGCTACGAAGAGGTATCCACCACCCTGACTCTTAAGACAGATGTCCCCAACCCCTAGGCCATGGTCCAGTACCAGTCTGTGGCCTGTTAGGAAGCAGGCTGCACAGTAAGAGGTGAGCAGCGGGCCAGTGACTATTACTGCCAGTGAGCTCTGCCTCCTGTCAGATCAGCGCAGCATAGTCAGATCAGCGCAGCATTAGTCTCACAGGAGCTTGAACCCTATTGTGACCTGTGCATGTGAGGGATCTAGGTTGCAAACTTCCTATGAGAATCTAATCACCCTCCGCCCCACCTTTAGGGTACTCATTTTTGTGCTTTGTTCTTATTGTTTTACCACTTGTGTATGTGTTCCTAAACTGTGTTGATGACTTTTGCCTGTTTTTCATCTTTATGTTAATGGAATCATATTGTCTATCCTCTGCCTGGTGTCTGGACATGTGCTGGGTACAGGGAATATAGAGTTGAATTAGACAGGCGTCCTCCCATCAAAATGATCATATTTGGTTGCAGAAATGATAATTGCCACAGTAGGAATTAAGCTTTGGAGTAGGGGTATCACATCACAATCATGTTGTTGAAAAAGAGAGGCTTCTTAAAGGAGTTGACATTTGAAATGAATTTTAAAATGATTTATCTTATTTTCCAATAAGACGAGGGAAGTGAGAATTGCCATTAGTGTGAACATCAAGTGTAAATCAATTCAGCCTTGTCTTAGTCAAGACTTCAAACTAGCTTAGACCAAAAAAAAGTTAAAAATTTTTACATAAGTGAACAGTCCATGTGATGTGACTTCAGGCAAGACTGGATCCAAAAGCTTAACTGCCAGTTTCAATCTCTTTTTTTTTTAATTTTAGAAAATAGAGATGGAGTCTCAGCATGTTGCCCAGGCTGGTCTTGAACTGCTGGGCTCAAGCAATCCTCCTGCCTTGGCCTCCCAAAGTGCTGGGATTACAGGTGTGAGTCACCGTGCCTGGCCTCTATCTCTTTCTACATCTATCAGATAGACTTTCTCTACACAGTGGATCAGATGGTCTTCAAAAACCTCAGACTCACTGCCTGTTGGCTTACCATTACCAGTAAGTGGTGCTCTCTTTTATAAGTTCAAGCCAAAATTCCCAGAGAAGATTCTAACAGGCCCTGTTTGGGCCATGTCCACATTGTTCCTAAAAGAATAAGGTGTTCTTACTGTTCTAGATCACAGACTAGATCACCTGCCCATCTTATCCAAACCACAGAGAACTGGTTCCTCACATGAGAGAAGGATTCTGTTCCCACAAGTGAGAAGAAATCCTAGGGCAAAGGCAACTGGTGTCCACCTGCAATATGAGAGGCCACTTTGCATTTGAGAAACCACAAGCTCTTTGGTGTGACTGGGGGGCAGGCTGAAGGGGTACATGATCAGAAAAGAAGTAGGCTGGGGAGGTGACAGAGATGCAGAATGTGTGGGCAACCAAGTGTTATTTTATGCTGAACCTAACAGAGGCTTTACAGTGATTTGAGAGATTGAAGCAGAGGGTGACAAGTTCAAAGGCTCATTTTAGGAGGCTCCCTCTGGGGCCTGCAGGAGAGAGGGCTGGAGTGCTAAGACGGTTATAATAATCCTGGTGAGGAGGCTGAAATGAGATAGCAGGAAAGGAAGCCTTTTGGGGTAGGGATCAGGGCATGAGCAGGTAGGAAACTAAGAAGGAAGTCGAAACCATAGATGCGGGTAATGAAGAGCTGGGTGATGAAGAGAGAAGAGTCAAGCAACAGTCACATTTCACATCTGAGTTTCAGGTGGGGATGTGCATCACCAAGATGAGGAGCCTGCGTTTGATGGGCCTATTCTGTGATGGCTATGGCTTTGCTCCTCTCGTTAACTTCTAGCCTGGTGTTGGAGACGCACGAGGTTCTTGGTAAACCCTTATGGGTAGACTAACTGGGAATTGAATTGAAATGCAGATGCTAAGTGTGGCTTATGCTTCAAGCTGCAGGTCTCCTTGAGGCCCCATTGCCAAGGCCTCGACAGCGCCACTGAAGAGGATTGGAATTGAGCCTGTGTGTGTGTGTCTGTCTATGTGTCTGTTCCTATCTCTCTTTGTTTGATTGGGATGATTTTTCATCCTGACCTCCTGACCTCCCTATGCTTGACAGCCAGGTTCCCAAGCCCAGGCATCCTACTGGCCAGGACCAGATAGGCTGTTCCTCCCAATACCTACTCAGGCATGGGGGTGTATCCTGAGACATTCTCCTCCTCTAGTTCCTCCTTTCCCACCCCTGCCAAACCTTCCAGAGCAAATCCTGGAAAGATTAGAGTGACAGAATGCATATCCCTACTCCCACTAGAGACTAGGCTTCAGAGGGACCTGGCCATAGACAGGTGCTGCACCCTGCTGTGTGTCAGGTGCTCTGCAATGCCTTTTCTCCACTCACACTCACAACACTCTACGAGGCTAATAGTAGCACTATCCCCAATTTACAGATGAGGACCTGAAGCCCAGAGAGGCAAACTGCATTGCCTGAAGCCCCTAATTGGTAATTACGGGACCTAAGTGCAAGTCTAATCAGAATGTTGTGGGCTTCAGCCTCCCTGGGACTGTTGTCAGGAGGCAGGCAGCTGGAAGGAGTAAGGTCCCAGGCTCTTTCGAGAAGAAGCTGGGCCCTAGAAGGGGTAGACCAGAAGAAGCCCAGCTTTCCTGGACCCACACCAGCCCCTCCCTGTTGGGTCTGGGTTTCTGGGGGCCCACGCAGTTGATGGTGATAGGTCGGAGAGGGTTGGTGGAGATGGGGGAAGGGCTGGAGGTGTGGGTGGCTGGGGGTGGGTTAATGCTGCTGCCTTATGAAGGACATTTTTCAATTGAGCCGGTAACTGGAGGCCCTGCGAGTGTGTTCTGTCTCAGCAACTCCACAATCAGAGGATATGAACTGGCTGTGAGAAAGACACCAGGGGCTGGCTATTCCCAAACTCTTGGAAGGCACAGAGCTAGATTTAATAAAAGGAGAAAATGGAACATTTTCATTAGCACCAAATTTTCCATTTAATTTGGACTTTTACAAAATAAGTGGCCTAATTACTGCCATGATTTGAGCTTCTCAATAGGTTTTTTCTCTAAGAAGCTGCAGACGCCACACAAGCTCCATTCTCCAGGACTCACCCTTGTGCCACAGCCCCTCACCGCCCCCACTTCCCTGGAAGCAGAAAGGCTGCTGAGGCCTGAGCAGGGAGGCAGGGCCAGGCACGGGAGGAGTGCAGGTATGCTGGCTCAGCTGACCTCTCAGGGCCCTCCCTGGGAGGCCCTCCTGGGCCCCCAGCTCTGAGTAGCCAGTGGGGAAGATGCCATTCTGGAGTCTGCGTGCCTCAGCACTGGCCTAGCCTTGTGTCTGAGCCCCGGCCTGAGGCTTGCCTGAGTCTTGCCTGAGTCTCAGCACAGGGCCTAGGAGGTTGCTAAACTAAGGTGAGGTGACAGTACTTTCACCCCAGGGCTCTGTTCTTGGCCTATAGAAATGACTGTAGCCCTGCAGTGTCAGCACACAGACCATTTACACCGAGACCTCCCAGCGCTGGAGAGGCTGAAGAATGGGAACTGACGGGACTGACACAGCCCCAGCCTGGGGCTCCAGCTCCCTTCTGGACCCTCGAGGGCACTTGCTCTCCCCACCTGGATCAAGCCTGGGTGCCTCAGGCTGGAGTGACTTCCTTCATCTCTTTTCATACCTCCTCCACATCCCCCACATCCCCCTCCCTACTCTCCACCTCGGCCTTTGGCTTTTTCCTCTTCCTTCTGCGCTTGAAGAGAATCAGGGATTAAAGAAGCGGAGCAAGAAATTGCCAAGAACTAGCCTAGCAGACAATCAGATAGAGGGATGGAGGGAAGGGGCCCTTCCCCCAAGAGGAGCCTGGGCGGTCCAGCCTGATGGGGCCTGGGAGACACGGGGTGTGCCGGCAGGCAGGGGCCATGTCCCGGGTGTGCAGTGCTGGAGAACATCCTCCTCAACCGTGACCTAAATTGGAGTCCTCTTTTGTCCCAGAGAATTAGTCCCAGCAAAGGTCTCACTGCCGGGCCCTTGTCCTAGGTACACTCTTCTACCCCATCCCTCCCCTGCCAAGGAAAGCAGACCCTTCTCTGGCCGTCTCCAAGCCAAGCCCTGCTGGCCCAACACCCCTAAGGGCTCCAGGCCCTGGCTTAGCCTCAGTCCCCCAGTTTTTCCACCACTTCTCCAAGGAAGAAAGAGGTAACCCCAAGTCTCTTAGGGAAGAGTAGTTGGAGGGATGTGAGGAGGCACCAAAAGGGATGTTATTACTAGAATGTTGGTAAGATAAGGTAAGATGTTTTCCTGGGGAGCTGTAAGGTCCCTCTGACCTGGGAGAGGCTCTGAAGAAATTGGCAATTTCTTGAGCCAGCCCCTTTGCAGGGGTCAAGGAGAACACAGAGGAGAGTCAGGTGCGGTCCCTGTTCTCACAGAGGGCTCAGGTTAGTGGGAAATAAGTAGGTGATGTTTTCCCCATTTGTACATGAAGAGACAGAGCCTCAGAGATGTTGGATGACATGCCCAAAGTCATCCAACTGGGAAGTGGTAGAGCTGGGATTCATTCGTACTTCGGGGCAGGTCCTATGTCTATTTGCTTTTCATCACCATAGTGTCCAATATACGTACAAAAGGGCATGTGAGTCGATGGCTGGTTACGTATGTGTCCACCCATGGAATCACCACCCACATCAAGGTCTCCGTGACTTCAAGCATTCCAGAAGGCTCCTTTGTGCCCCCTCCAAGTCAGCACACCCCCACAGAGTTCCTCTCTATTCCGCAAATCCTGGCACGTTATTTTGTGGGGTTAGGGGTGACATTTCTTGGCCCAGGGCATTTCTTGACTCAGCTGTCCTGCAAAGATGACATGGCCCAGCACCTAGCTGGCACACAACAGGAAACCCTTGCACTCTGGCGGGTGAAGAGAGGAGCTGTGAATAATGCTGGGACCACAGAGGTTAACAGGGGCTGTCCCAGCCTCACCTTCTCAACCTGGCCCTGGTGAGCCAAAGATTTTGGTGGGAGGTGGCAGAGGTGGTGTGCTCATCTGTGGTAGCACAGACCTGGCCCTCCAGCCCCTTCTAGTGGCCCTCCAGTCTCAGAACTCAGCCAAGAGAGTGGGGGTAAGGGAGCTAATGCTCTCTGCGGTCTAGAACAGGTTTCCTTTGCCCCTGGCTTCAAACTGTGCTTTCCTTAATAGAGGACTTCAGAGGCAGCTAGAGGAGCCTCCACGTCGGCCATCCACAGGCAATGGAGACTTAGGAAGCAGCACCCCACACCCCTGTCCAGCCAACTGCTCCAAGAGGTCTTTCCAAGCCTATGGGGCCCCAGACTCCCAGCATCTCAGCCCAGACCCTCACCTGCTCCACCCCACCCCACCCCGTCTGCATCCACGGGCCAGTGGGGAACCATTCAGTGAGATCCTCCCTGCCCTACGGCCTTGGCCCTGACCCCAGCTTGGCCTCTTTGTCTTTGAGCCAGGCCAGCCAGTTCAGCGTTAAAGCTGCTGGAGCATCTAAGGAGACATAAAGAAAGTTTAGAGACTTTTAATTTGCCAGCACGGCTCTCCGCCGGCCAGCAGGTTGAGCGTTTGTGGAGAAGGGCAGCCGCAATAAAGGCTTATTGTTCCTCTCTGAACCACTGCTCGTGACTCCTTTCTTAAGTGAGACAAAGGGAACCCAAGGCCCACAGGCATCCCCAGGCCCAGAGAGGGGGGCCCACAATTAGCTAATGTCCCCTAGGGTCAGGGTCTGGGGGTAGGGGCCCAACTCAACCCCTGTCTGGGCTGTACTCACAAGACAGCGCAAGCCTGGGACATTGCTGGCAGGGAAATACTCTCCAGTGGGGACCCCAGGGCACCAGGAGGCAGGACTCCCACAGGGAGGGGCCCGGAGCACCCTGCAGAAGCACCACACAGAAGAGCAGCTGCAGGAGCCACGGGAATGGGCCTCGTGGTCAGGGTCCTCCCTGGGTGCGGTGGGGTGTCCCGGGAAAGGTTTCCAACAGCCAGAGAGGTTTCTCTTGTGTGGAGAGTTCCCCCACCACAGGGAGCATGTGAGCTGGGAGGGCACCCAGAGGGAAGGTGGGGCTCCAACTGAACAGGTCACTTCTGGTGCCCAAACGGCCAGGCTTAGGAAGCCCAAGCAGATCCTCTTGACTGGGCAGAGAGAAGGCAGAGCACAGGAATGTGGTGACCCCTACAGAGACACCCTGCCACTGAGGCAGCCACTGGGAGCCAGGTATCCACACCCCTGGGGAGAGGTGGCACCATGTCCCATAGCACCCCTTGCTGGGACCACCTGGAATCATATCCCATAGGCAGCACTGCTCAGAGTCTCGGAAAGGAGGCTGCACAATTTGTCTGTCCCATCCTTCACTCACCCACCATGATGCTCAAGACCTGAGAAATACATCGTGGTAGATGGTGATGATGGGAACATCCTTTCTCACTCCCCGCTGTGCCCTCCGGAGACCCTCTACTTTGCTGCCCAGGACATCAATGGCTTTGGAGACATTATGTGGCTAGTAAGTTCCTGAAATAGTCACATTTCAGGCCATGAGGCTGCTGGCAGGGTGTAGGGCCATCATGTACAGCTGTGTAGGTTGTGCACTGCATAAGGATTAAGGGGGCAAATGAAGAATGGAATCCAGACTTTGTTCTGCTCACCAATCCATGGGCACACATGGTCTTCTCCTGCCTGGAGGAAGGGGCACCTTTTTCTAACATACACAGTGGCACTGTATGTATATTACTGTGCAATATATATGTAAATATATTACATACAATGCTCTTCTATTTGATATACTGTAATACACAGAGGAACTGTGTGTGTGTGTGTGTGTGTGTATGTGTGTGTACTGTAATACAGAGGCACTGTAAGGGCTAGTGGAGGCCCAGAAGAGAGGAGGACATTTTTAGCCAAGAGGCAGCCACCTGGCCCATGAAGACTAGCCTTGCCATTGTTTGGCTCTTGCTTCTCTAGGGCACTCTGACCAAAGGTCACATTTCTGAAGCTTTTGAGGCAGACCCAGTTCTGTTTGGCTTCCTGCCCCTTCATCCCTGGCATGTGGGGTCTTCCCTGGGATTGGCAGAAAGAGCAGGTGTCTGAGATTGTGATGTCTGCACACAAGGCTACAGCCCCAGTTGCATCTGGAGCTGCTGCTTCGGCCCTCCAACCTCCCGGAGCCTCTCTGCCTTGGGTAATTGGATTGAAAGGGAGTATTATTTACTAGTCGTATGGACCTATTCCTCTCAGCGCCCCCCACCACTCTCCCTTTTCTCTGCCTTGCCAAAGAACAAAGATTGGGGATGAAATAAATTTGATAATAACCAATAAGGACCCCCAGAGAAAATAAAACAGCTTTTATTAAACTTCTTCCAAGACCTTTTGTGCTGGGCCTCTGTAGGCTCTCTCACAGACTTCCAAGGCTTGGCTCCTTTCCCAGACGTCTAGAGGAGCCCCAGGTGTGGCCCTCACAGCCATCCCTGCAAACACCGGCAGTAACTCGGGGCCTCGTCCTTCCCGTTGCTGTCCTCAGTCAACTCCTATTCGAAAGGCAGTTAGGGCCACAGAATAGCCTCTCAGCTGTGTGTTGCCGGGCTCTGAGGTTTTGCTAGAGTGGCCTTCCTCAGCCAGGCCAGGGCTCCAGGTGGCCACTGCTGACGGGTCCACAGCTCCAGAAGCCACCAAATAGAGGCTCTGGGCCTGCCGCCATCCATCCCTGGAGTCATCTCTCCAGGTTGAGTATGGCACGATTTAATGCTCCCATCCCTCCATTCCTGCTCTGCATGACAAATTGTTTTAATAAACATAAACCGGGTAATAATAAAGTCATAATAAGCCCGCGACTCACCTTATATCACTGCAGTTAAATCCTCCCATAAGCCGGCACTGGTTACAATGACAATTACGGCCGGGCCAATCCGCAGGCAGGCCTGCGTGCGGACAGATTTAATATCGTTTGTAAATATGATTAGTGGGCTGTCATGTTATTGCAGGCTGCTATTTACATTTCTCTCCAGGGTTATACACTCCGCCAAATCAACATTAAGTAGTGGGTCTCTGTTTCCTCCTTAAATCATACATTCCTTCTGCCTGCGCCAATCCCGCTTAATGAAGAAAGGGAACCTGATGGCAGGCGCTGGGCAGAACGGAGCCTGGCCTCGGCATTTTTCTGAAGACAGATGGGCACGGGGAGCCCCAAGAAAGCTCTGCCCAGAAACTCCAGTGGGTGCATGAGCCCTGTTTGCCGCAGCCCTCTCCCTCCCACCCGCTGCCCCTGCCCCCTCTCCCTGCCTGCTCGCTTATGAAAAATGTTCAAATAATGAATGGTTGTTGTTTACAGAAGTAATTTCATGCTACATTTCCATTATTGCCCGGATTTGTTTAGCTTCGCACACTAGCCCATTGCCTACGATGAACTTTTAAGGAAATATTGCTGGCGCTTCCCGCTCTGCCGTTCCACTTCTAATAGAAGCCGCTTGCATTTGTGACATATTGTGACACTTCATAACTGTGTGCAAATAAGCATCCTTAAACTGCTGGTGTCAATTAATCATTGTTGCAGAGGCTGATCTGCTCTAGGTGCACCAGAATCCACCCCCTGGGGAGCCAGGGTGGGTGAGAAACAGCTGAAAAGCTGGTGTGGAGGGTGCAGGGGACAGGGAGAGCAGAACCATGGTTCTGCTTTCCAGATCAGCTAACCCACTGGAGACAACATGGCTGTGTTCTTCTCGTCTTCAAAATAGGTTCGTGTGGGCCCATAGGCCAGAATGTACAGAATGGCTGGGGTGAGAAGCCACTTGAAAGAACTGAATAAAAAATGAATACCATATGCCTCCCACACTTCCTAAAGAGAGCACTCTAGACAGGATTTAATCTTCTTGTGATGGCCAAGGTCACCGTTGTGTTTGGAGGTGTAATATATTGATGCACTTTGAGGCTATCGTGGCTGCAGAATGCCCCAGCACCGCGTTTTCTAGCTCTGTGGTTGGATGTGTGCTATGTCTCTGTCCTTTCTCTTAATGTCAGGCTATAGCTGGGGTGTCTGTCCACAGCACCCTTACTTCCTCATGCTATTCCTAATCTTCGGGGAACTTGGAGACTAGGAAATCAACTTTGGAGCAAGAAGACTAGAAAACCAAATCTTACAAATATTTTGAGAAAGAAGATAAAACAGGCTCTGTCTGAGAGCATGGGAACTGTCCGCAAAGTAAGATCAGAGCCTTTTGCCTCCTGCCTGATTCTCAGTTAAGTTGGAGCTAGGAGAGGGACCAGATAGAGGCTATAAGAAGCTATATCCTTAGGCAGAAGTGTGTTCATTCATTCACTCAACAAACACTTTGTATGTTAGGCACCTACTGTATACTAGGCACTATTGTAACCACCCAAGGGGTTCACCTTGCCCACTACCTAGCCAGAGCCCATTCATCAAGACAAGGAAATTGCAGTAGAGAAGAGTAATTCATGCAGAGCCGGCTGTGTGGGCAACCAGAGTTTGATTATTACTCAAATCAGTCTCTCCAAGCATTTGGGGATCAGAGTTTTTAAGGACAACTTGATGGGTGGGGGGAAGCCAAAGAGCCAGGAGTGCTGATTGGTTACGTAGGAGACGAAATCACGGGAAGTTGAAGTTGTCCTCTTGCGCTGACTCAGTTCCTGGGTGGGGGCCACAAGTTTATCCATCTGGATGGGGCCAGCTGATCCATCAAGTGCAGGTCTGCAAAATATCTTAAGCACTGATCTCAGAAGCCATTTAGGGGAGGGTCAGAATCTTGTAGCCTCCAATTTCATGACTCCTAAACAATAATTTCTAATCTTGTGGCTAATTTGTTAGTCCTACAAAGGCAGTCTAGTCCCAGACAAGAAGGAGGTTTATTTTGGGAAAGAGCTGTTATCATCTTTATTTGAAACAATAAACTGTAAGCTAAGTTCCTCCCAAAGTTAGACTGGCTTACGCCCAGGAAGGAACAAGGACAGCTAAAAGGTTAGAACCAAGATGGAGTCAGTTAGGTCACATCTCTTTCGCTGCCTCAGTCATAATTTTGCAAAGGCGGTTTCACTGTGGATCACAGTTCCCTGTTCTCATGGAGTTTACACTTTAATGAAAGACGGCAGCAGGGCTACTGTGTGTGGTCACACTGTTGCACACTGCACAACTCTGAGAAAGCAGTGCACCCTGCATGAAGAATGTAATGCGCACAGCATTCCCTGAAGCTGTGCAACGTCACAGCTCTGGGAGACAGATAACAAAGAAGTCAGAGAATTTTGGAGTGGGATAACTGCAGTGGGATAATTCTCTGATAAGTCAGAGAATTTTGGAGTGGGAAGAAAATAATATGGGGTACAAAACAGAAATTGATTGGAGACATGGGGTCTCCTTCCTTCTCTGAGGAGGTGTGTTCGAGCTGTAATAAACATATTCCCCCCTTAGTGGACACACGAAAATCCTTACAGACTCCATGTGCATGCACACCTGTGTACCTTTTCTTCTTCTTTAATGACTCCTGAATGAAACGGTTTCTCCTCATAATGGCCTACAGTTGCCAAATTTTGTATAATGCATATTTATTATTTTAATAAAAAGAAATAAAGGTATAGGTTTTTTTAATGTAAAGGGAGATCTAAAAACATCTG